TATTTCCCTTTTTTTCCAAACCTTTGGTGAATTCCCCCTCATTGGGGGGGGGGGGGAGCAGTGTTTGAACAGGAGGTTTATTTCTCTTCCCTGAATAGTTTCCTCATTCATTGATTTTTAATCAAGAAATTTCTTCTTTTGGTAGTCTCCCATCCCATTCCTCTGCCCAGAATTTGAATGTGATTTGTTGTGGTGGTTTGGTTTGGTTTTTTTAGGGATGCTACCTGGAAGGTATTTTCTCCCTCCTTTTAAATCTCTGTCTAGTTTCATTCTCTGCTTACCTCAGTCTTTACTTCAAAGATAATCCTTGCCACCTATTAGCTTCACCGTCTCTCTTGATTCTATCTTTCCTTTTGCTCTTTCTCATTTCAGTGTCCTTATATTTATTTCCTTTTATCCTTGGGGTCTTCCATAATCTGAAATGTGAGGAAGAGGGGGAAAAAAAAAGGGAACCCAAATCTAGCAAAACCAACAATATCTTTTCTATAACATTAGCTTCTTCTGCAGCTACTGCCTGCAACTGTACTTCAGTCTAATGTTCTCCATTACCCGGTCACTTATACGTTACATTTTTCTTTTTTTCATTTCATCCCTCCTTGATGAAACAGTGGACACCTGGCAAGTTTTTCTAAACTTCATATGCTTTGGGAACATTTAATTTTAAACTGACGCCTAATAAATTCACAAACAATGATTTTCAGGCTACGAAGTTGCTTTTCTCTTTTCCCAAAGCCTTCCTCTACAGGCCCTAAATTCTATTGTGGGTCCTACATAAATTTTATTCATTGCTCCGTTTTAATTTCAGGTCATATTTATCCTACATTACAAGCCATTATCAGGAACTTAATCTGTGTAAAACATGCAGTTTTGATACGTTGCAGACTCACAACATTAAGTTTTGTAAAACATCGACATTTTGTATTCCTACAAATTTGATTTTCAAAGCTCACAAGTGCCCAGCAAAAATATTAAGAAAGCAAGACTCTTAATATTTTTCTCACTAATAGCTTTCCAAGACAAAAAAAAGTTAACAACTTCTTGTCAATCTCATCACTCTCACGTTATATACTCTTACACTGTACAACTGTACTGTACACTGTACAGGCAAGACAAAAGATACAACTGTTTTTCTATTTGATCTTTCAAAGCAATCTGTATTCTCACAAATTAGAAAACAAAACAATTGCTTTGAAAAATTGTGTTTCTGAAAGTCACACCACAGCTACAAACTGACTCTGATTCAGAAATTAACAGATATATCAGGTAATATGGAGGACAGGCAATAGCTATGTTTTGAATTTGCAGTGGGAAAGAACAGCATATTTTGCTTTCACAAATATTCTTTACAAATGCACTTACAGGAGTTATACCTTGAAAATAATCAAATTGAAGAAGTGTCAGAAATTTGCTTTAACCATACAAGAAACATAAATATCATTGTCCTAAAACATGACAAATTAGAAGAGCACAGAATAGCACCTTTGGCTTGGATAAATCAAGAGTAAGTACTAATCATTTAAACTATAACTATGTTATTTTTATCTGTTATTAGTGAGTCAGATAATGAAATAAATATTTGCACTTCATTACTTTTAACTGAAATCGTAGTTATCTTTTGATTTGCTTGTTTTCCTTCGCTAATTTGTCTTAATTTCCTTTGCTTCAATTGTATAATCTAGGAAGTATTTAGAGTCAGCTTTAAAACAAAAAGATCTTATACCTCAAATCTGTACCATATTAACATAAAAGTCTAAATATTTTTTCTGACCATCCAATCAAAAAATGAAAATTAAATATCAATAATTCTCCATACAATTATACAATAATTTGGTATTAATATATCATTATCGCACAGGTAATTTAAAAATAATTGAATGTTGTCCTAACCTTATTTCCCATTAGATTAAAAATTACAGAAGTAAATAAGATGAAGGGAAGACTGTGCAGCTGCATTGTTTAAGAGTAGAATATAAGCAGAGCAAGCAATGAGAATGAAAGAAGCAAAAGATGATACTGCTTTTGCTTCTTTTGGTAAATGATTTGCTAAGCTACGTAGGGTACCTTGCCATAACCTATCAGCTGGTCCTATCAGTTGATTTCTGGATTTGTAAACTGCTTAATCTGAAAACAACCACACTGCTACTAACAGCTTCTCTCATCTCTGGAAATGAAGCACATCAGAATGACTCTAAAGGAGCCACTCACAAAACAATTCCATTTCAAATGGGTTTTAGAATAAAATTTAAAAATCCATGTCAATGGGATAACCACTGAAGTCCCAAGTGTATTGTGTGTTTTCCAGTGTAACTCATTATTGCAATTCTGCAATGCTTATCAATCACAATTAGTCCCCTGGGTTTCCCCTATTCAACCTTATCTCTGTACTCATAACCGTAGATTTCTTCCCATTAACTGATTAATTTGGCTTGATTGATAATTAATGACTTCAATTCCTTCCATTCCCAGAGTAATTATGCATGACTATGTTCCATAGAACGCATTCTGTTCCATTAACAGAAACAAATTTCTCTTTGAAATTTAGTTTCCTTGTAATCATGTTAAGCACTATTTTGTACAGAATGTAGCATTAACAATGCAGTATGCTATAATGTTTTCATCCCGTTTTTTTTCCTCCTTTAATGCAGGAACTTGGAATCAATTGATCTCTCTTATAATAAGTTATATCATGTTCCCTCCTATCTGCCAAAATCTTTACTACATCTGATACTTATAGGAAATCAGATTGAAAGAATTCCAGGATACGTCTTTGGTCACATGAAGCCAGGGCTGGAGTATCTCTACCTGTCCTTTAACAAACTTACTGATGATGGAATAGATCCAGTATCATTTTTTGGAGCATATCACTCTCTGAGAGAGTTGTTTTTGGATCACAATGAACTAAAGTCTGTACCATTTGGAATTGATGAAATGAGAAAATTACGTTTTCTAAGACTGAACAATAATAAAATAAGGTAATTTCCAAGCTCTTTGTTATATTAATGGCATTAAAATAAATGTCACAAGACATGCTTTGTTTTAAGAACTTTTTACTTTTAAGTAAATCTTTTTGTAAAAATTCTGAAGGAGGAGCTAAATCCTGAGTTTTCTACAGCAGTATTTCTGCATATGATAAGAGAAAAGTGAGATTTCACCCTTCCTCATGGTTCTTGAAAACGCTCGCAAAGATGCTGAGCACCAGTTCTCTCCAGGAAATTAATCTGTAACACTGCTTGGGCCACACGTCCGCCGGGGCAGCTACGATTTGATAGGCACAGCAAAGTACCAGCTTCTTCTGCTCTTGGACCAGAGCCCAAACTGGTTACAAAATAACTGGAAGGAGTTGTCAGCTGCTGATGACGGCTGAAAGTGGCCTTTCAGCAGCTTTCAGCCAGCCCCAGTTGTGAAGTTAGGCATGCTCTCGAGTTCCTCTGTACCATTTACAAAGCAAAGGAATGATAGACAGAGGGTCTTACGTGTGTTATACAGAAAATTTTCATTCAGCAACACGTGGCAATACTTTCCTCAGGAAAACTAAGTATACAATATAAATGAGAAAACAATGCAAGGAGAGAATTTTAAAAAGAATTACTTGTAAATATATTACTGAGAAAATTTAATGTACTGCTTAAGTTAACATTTTCAAATCTCTAAATAAACAGCATCTCTAAAATAAATTATGAAGTTATGAGTTATCTTGATTAATGAAAATGTAATTCCTCCCACAATGTCACAGGACAGTCCCTCCAGAACGCATCTGCAGGACTCATATCAATGATGACGATGTTCATGACAACAGCGAAGAGGAGAATGAAGAATCACGTTTGGAACACGTTCATCTTGAAAACAACTATATCAATACAAGACAGCTATCACCACATGCATTTTCATGCATAAGATCCTATTGCAGTGTTGTTCTTAAACCACAGAAGATCAAATGAACGCCCAACTTTTGCATTGCAACCCCTATCTCTAGAAACACAGCTTTATTTATTCTCTGCTACTAACAGGTCTGCTTATTTCCAATTTAAACCTTTCTTACTACTATAAATAAGATACAGTATATTATATACTGAAGTAAAGCAGTATTGTATTTCTTAATATCATTTCATTATAAAAACATTAAATGTAAAAATAGAAGCTCAAGATTATGTCATAAATTTTTATTTCTATTGACAGAAATTCTACTTAAACACAATAGATCAAATTGTGCCCCCAGATACATCCTCTGCAAGATCAGATTTTAGAAAAGAATATAGCTAAACCGTCAACTTGGTCCCATCTTATTTGATTAACTGAACTTAAAACAACTTAAATGGTACCATCAGCTTTAAAAATTATACAAATGAAAGTCCTTGAGCTATGAACATTCTAGCAAAACAAGAATCAAATTTCTTAAAACATACATGGCACTGCATTTTCTACCAAACGTTTTGCAGTGATAAATTCTCTTCCAACTGAAATTTCAGGGGGAAAAAAGTTGAATTGTTTGTTTTAGATGACCCTGAAAACCTCCCACATTCAAACACAGAATCTGATGAGTTAGAGGAATGAGTAATGAGAATTAATTTCTACGTGGATGCTTTGCAATTCATTTGTACAGTAGTTAGTTTGCTAGCTTTTTATACCATATAGGATCAGGATCATGTTGCCCATTTAGGGGACTAATTAGACTTTATCAAAAATTTAAAATATTCAGTTAGTGGTTATTTGAAAGCTTCTAGATAGTCATAAATCACCACTTCCAAGAATGCTGATAAAGTAGTTTCAGTAATACATTTTATATGAATGCCTGCTTAGGTATACAATAGTGTTTACAAATAGATCTCTGTTTCCCTATAGAAGAGTTCAGTCTCTTGAAGATTTTTTTTAATGTCTGAGTTCAAAGAAAAGAAGCATTTTTAATATTGCACTCTAGATTTTAATATTATATTCTTTCTCTCACCAAAAATTTGATAAAAAGTAGTTAATATTTTTATTTTAAAGAACAATTTCAATAAAAACTGAAAGTAATTCTAACATCTTTCATATTTGTTCAATTCTACAGTCCTTTCTTATAAGAGTAGGCTGGTGGTAGGAAATTATTACAGATCACTGGCAAGTCATTATTCTTCACGCAATTACTTTCCACTTTCTCCTGGGCTATTCTGTGAGGCATAAAAAAAAGTGTACTCTCTTTTCTTCAGTACTATAGGTATGCTGTCTAATAATTTCTTCTTCAGAATGGATCAGAAAAAAGGATGAAATGGCTTAATACAGGGCATATAAAAGCTGTAAGCAACTGCACATCATAAAACCTTCTAAGGACACATATTAACTACTGAACTGTAATTTTATTACCCTCACTCTGGAAGTGAAGGTTTCACTATGCATTTCCCACACATCCCAATCTACTACCAACAGATACGTCACATAATCAGTGTAAGCACACTGTTCACACAACATTTAACAGTGAAGGATCGCCAAACATTTTTTTTAGCATATTAAAGACAGCATATATGAACACCTGAGTTTTGTTTTCTCTGAAGCTATACAATCATGATAAAAACAAAATCTCAATTGTTCTATCTCAAAGTTCTCTCTTACTCAAATAAACTATTACCTGCAAGGCACAATGGTACTTCATCTGCAGTGAGTCCAAATATAATGCATTTCTTGTAAGAAACAATCCTAAGATATGTGGATTCCTGTAAAAAGATTGCTTTGGATATTTTGGTTGGTAAAGTATGGTCAGAAGTCTTACCTTAGTGATTTGCTAAGTTTGGTAAAGAATGGTGAAATCAAGAGGCTGAGTTTTTACATACAAGGTTCTGGTTTGGGTGATTTGATTTCATTGCTCCTGCACATTCAATATTTGATTCCTTCCTTCCTTTTGACTTCGGCTAATACTTTGGCTAATATTTCTTTCTCTTTGTCAAACACCTTTAAGTTCCCAAACTACTGTTTTGAGAGACTAAAAAACCTAAATTATTAAAATGAATACTTTTATAGTCTATTGCTAAATAACTTCAGACTTTGCAACACTGCTGAGCAGTGCTTTCAGAAGCTTTACTAAGCATTTTGAATACACAGATTGACCCAAGGAAGTGATTTCCAGATAAACAAGCTGCTGTATGACACCATTTTATGCATTCTTATAATAAATTTAAGCAAAACACCATGTATTGTTGCAATTATTTTCATTCTAATAGAACACTTATCAAAACATTCAGACTTATAAGACCCACTAGAAAATCTCCACTGGATTTGCATGGGATAACACCGCTAAAATACAGATGACTAAAGATTTATTGCAACCATTAATATACTTTTTTCTCCAATATGCGCTTTTTCACTTTTGAAATATCATAAAAATTAATTTTACGCAAGTCATTTGTCTAAGATATTTCCTTTGGTCATTCAATACAATGAGTATCAAGCTTGCCTAAAAGTATGCTGTGGTAAGTTGTTCCTACAAGAAGCACTCAATAACATAACATGACGTAAAGTAAAGTTACGGTGTAAATATAATGCCACAGTAGTGAAACAGAGAGACTGAAGGAAAACCATTTTGGAATCAGAACACAACAGTAGCAGAGGCAGAAGACCAAGAATGAGAAAGAAGCCAAGGGATGAAGGGTATGCAACAAACGGATGCTTACTCACTTAAGAAATACACGGGCAATTAAACTTGGATAACATTTCCATATGTCAAATGTAAGCAGTTTAAGCCTGTTCACTCTTCAAAATTACCAACTACATTGGAAGCGAAATGGGCTTTATTATTAAAAAAAAAAAAAAATCCCACTACTTCTTAACAGTGAGCCTCAAAGGATTTTATAAACAATGTAAATGGGATTATCACCATTTTGCAGCTTGTGACAGTAAAACATAGACAAGTGATCTGACCATTCTTGGTCAAGACAAATATGGGAACAAATTCAGAATCTTTGGCCACCAGTAGGATAAAAATATGCAAGGACAGCTCAACACAAAACCCCTACACTTACTGTTTAGTCTCTAAAATATATTTGAGCAAATAATTAATTTTTGCAGACTTACATTGGAAATTAATATACTTCAAGAAGGCAATTAGATTGAGAATGGAATATAGTTCTGCTAAAGTATTATCAGACTCAGAAGTCTTATAAAATAGTATGGACCAAACCATGTAATAGCCATTAGATATTCTCGTGGAACTGAAATAACTTGCTTGAACCTCAGTCATACTGGTCCTTTGAAAATCTCCTAAGTCTTACAGAAGTAGGCACCACTTGATATTTTAGTCTGACAAGAAGCTCAATTGAGGTATACTGGGAGAGCCTTCACGTTATTCCTAGATAGGTAGAATAACGACTGCCTGCAGAAAGTCACTGTATGCAAACGTGGTTTGAGGAAGAAAGCTGTTAAACCAATCAAGTAACAATTTTGACAAACAGTCGGATTTGGGTAGATGCATAGAAGTACTCTCATTTCTCCTGTTCTCCAGATGCAGATGTAGCTGCAATTTGTAGTCACAGATAAATTCAAGAGAGAACAAGCTGTAAGTTGCTAAGCCTGCAGAGATGTCCCATCACAGTTTTTTTAACCATTTCAGAGAAGAAACTACTTAGAGTAGGGCAAAAACCTGAATAAAATTTTTTTAGTAACCCAGCCAGAGACAAATGTAAGGTAAATATATCTGAATACAAGGATGTAATGTAAATGTTGAAACTACGAGAGGGTAAGATATTTTAAAGTAAGAGACCCAGAATAGCAAAGGTTAGGATTCAATAGCTGTAGCAATTCCAGAACCACCATGCTTTGTGGCATAAGAGGAATTTTGGGGCTCTAGACTCTCTGTTACATTTCTAAGTTCTGATTTGCATTGTTGGCTCATGCATCATACAAAAGAATCTGGACAAGACCTGCTAAATCCTTCAGGTAGGTCCCATTATAAATTCAAACATAACAGAAGACATCCTGTGGTTATCACCACATTAATAGAAAAGGTATTGATGCTAACATTTTTATTGAGTAGGATCTTTCTATTGGTTAAATGATGACAGAACTTTGAGGATCCACCTGAACTGTTGTTTTGTGCACAGGGATATACACTTCTGGTAAAATGAAAACTGCAAATATGCCCAACAAAGTAAGGTTGTTACCATGGAAGCCTGGGCAGCTTTCTGAATTTGAAGCAATGATTAGAGGTAATGTTTCCTCTAAGATAAGGTAAAAGATTTTTCTTTAAAAAAAAGAAAACCCTCAGAAAAATAAAGGCATCAAATGCCTCCCAAAGTGAGATTGTTATCATTAATTCCCATGTGTTGAGGCTGTTAGACCCCAAAAATGTAGAGCTCTCGGTACACACCCTTCTCCATTTTCCATTTCAATTTAATAAAGAATAGAGAGATCCCCTCATGCCAAAGCTACAAATAACTCAACTTTGCCTCAAAAAGGGAGTTTGAGGTGTGACCACTAGCTTTCTAGCGGCCCAAGACAAAGTAAATTTCACCCAATGAATTCTCTTTTATATAACACTATAGAGAGTGTTTGATACAATTTCTGAATTCGATTCTGAAACATGTATCATGCTTGCACCTATGCAAAAACCCTTTAGCGCTCAATAAGAAAAAAAATCAGAACTGGGAAGCATGATTTTATAATTTCTCTACCAACAATTTGGTTACTCTTTTACTGAAGGAAATCAATGAACTTTTAACATCTCTATCAAGTCACTACTTTATAAACAGTTATATCACAGGAGCAAAATAAACAGTTTATCATTTCTGTTGTGCAGTAATAGAAATGTTAACTAGTTGAAACTCATGAGAAAACTTCTTCTAATTTAAGTACTATGTTTATATTCTAATGTATACAATTGTCAGAGAACACAAGAGTACAGGCAGTAAAATATCAGGAATATGAGAAAATATTTCCACAATAATTATACACAATAATCCTGATGACTTTCTATATGAAGCAGTTTTCAGAAAACAAGCCTGCAGATTGTAAGTTTGTAGACCAATACAACATCTGTAATGGATGAATGACCAATACAACAGCTCTGGAATTTTGAAGCTTCCTAAAGTAAGCTTCAAAATCTCTACTCATTTGGAAGTGTAGGCACTTGAAAATGTAACCACAGGGACCTGCCTGTATCCTCTTTTGATTTACAGCCTGAAACAATCAACAAAGGGTCACTCCTGTTTAAATGCGGAAAGCAACAATGAACACACAGTATCAACATGTGTTACAACTTTCATACAACCACTCCTTGCTAGAGTTATCTATCAAGTTTTGGAAGACCAAAATTCAGGTCAAATCACTGCTTAAAGGGGGTCAGAAATCATACTATGACCATCTTGTAGAGTGTCCCAACCACAGAGGTGAAGCTTACTTTGGAAAGAGTGCATGTTTTTAAAAAGACTTACTTTTAAAGCTGGTTTTGCATGCAGGAAGCATTTAAAGATTTAGAGGACCAGAAACATCAGTCAACCATGTAACCTACACTCATCTGGATGAAACCCTGCATAGCAGTCCTGCTGTCTTCTTGAAAAGTGAAAAAGGTATAAACATCTATCCAAAAAGACTAGTTCATAATAATATGTTTGACTTA